TTCCTTCAGAAAGAGCTATGGTTGTGAGATTTGTTCCGGGAACATTCCTTCAGAAAGAGCTATGGTTGTACGATTTGTTCCGGGAACATTCCTTCAGAAACAGCTATGGTTGTACGATTTGTTCCGGGAACATTCCTTCAGAAAGAGCTATGGTTGTACGATTTGTTCCGGTAACATTTCTTCAGAAAAAGCTGTGTAGCGCTGTCATGGTTGTACAATTTGTTCCGGCAACATTCCTTCAGAAAAAGCTGTGTCGCGCTTTCATGGTTGTACAATTTGTTCCGGCAACATTCCTTCAGAAAAAGCTGTGTCGCGCTTTCATGGTTGTACAATTTGTTCCGGTAACATTCCTTCAGAAAGAGCTTTGGCACGCTTTCATGGTTGTACGATTTGTTCCGGTAACATTCCTTCAGAAAGAGCTATGGTTGTACGATTTGTCCCGGGAACATTCCTTCACAAAGAGCTATGGTTGTACGATTTGTTCCGGGAACATTCCTGCAGAAAGAGCTATGGCACGCTCGCATGGTTGTACGATTTGTTCCGGGAACATTCCTTCAGAAAGAGCTATGGCACGCTCGCATGGTTGTACGATTTGTTCCGGGAACATTCCTTCAGAAAGAGCTTTGGCACGCTTTCATGGTTGTACAATTTGTTCCGGGAACATTCCTTCAGAAAGAGCTTTGGCACGCTCTCATGGTTGTACGATTTGTTCCGGGAACATTCCTTCAGAAAGAGCTTTGGCACGCTTTCATGGTTGTACAATTTGTTCCGGGAACATTCCTTCAGAAAGAGCTTTGGCACGCTCTCATGGTTGTACGATTTGTTCCGGGAACATTCCTTTCAGATATTTCAGATATTTCAGATATTTCAGATATTTCATTGAAATGTTCAACATAATTGTAGATCATAGAGGTGCCTCTTGGCATATATATATATAAGTAAAACAATTCGTGATTGTATTTATGGTTTCTCTTTACACCAACCAGACAAGACTACCCTTTCACATCCATGCGAATTGGCCTGCTCGGCCAAGCGTCCCCTTTGGACTCTCAGGCCCGGAAGCCAAGCAGGCGGGCCCCGCAACCACACGTGCGTTGCTTCCCCCGGGGTTCCCTGCAGTGTGGCCATGTGGAGGGTTGCAAAATCCATTTCGCACCACGAAATGACACCATGGGAAACCATGATTTGCGGATGTTCACAGGGAACGAGCAGAAACCAGGGTCTCTTAGGTGGTGCGAAATGGATTTCGTCCATCCACAGTAAGTCAAAAGCCCGATTAGCCCCCAGTGAACATCAACCAATCCAACCACTAAAAAAGGTTCTAAAACTGGTGAATTCTCCGAAAACCCCCAAAATGGTACCATTGGTTTTGACCCACAGCCATGTCCAACCTGAAAACATCACCCCAACAGAACTTACCTCACTTTGGCCAAGATGATAGAAAGCCACCAGAAAAATTGAGGGAGCCCTGACCGACGACCAACCAAACAAACATGCGTTACCCCCACCTCTCCCTCATGTTCGGTTTCATGGACATGGCTTCGTCCAATCCCATGGCCAGCGTCCAAAACCCAGTTGGCTAAAAGACGTGTCGCTTTGCGAGATATCTCGGGGAGATGTCTCGGGGGGTTGGGTGCCAACTTAGTGAAGAGCACCGAGGCAATCTACTCTTGACCCCGGGTTATAAACCAACGTGCTTATGAAAATGGGGGTAGTTTTGGCACCTCCAAAAGTGAATTGAGAAGATTGAGAGTGAAACCTCGTCATACTAGTAAACCGGTTGGTGCCAATTGAGAGCAGCAAAGCAGTCGAATGTTGACTCCGGAGTAGTAAACCAACCTGGGGTTGGTTTTGGCACCTCCAAAAGTGAAGATCGCAATAAACGGGGCTTAATCCGGGATTGCCATTGCCGATTCAATCCAAAGAATCAAACTAAGAGGATCCACCAATTTGTCCTGACGATGCTCCTGGGTTTTCTGAACATATTCTCACTTGCCCCGGATGATCCGGACCTGGGGATAAAAGGTGATCACCTTTCGGAACCTGTTGCTTCAGAGCAACCAGGTCTGGGAGAAAAAAAGGCGCCGGGATGGAAATCATTTGGAATCCCAAGTAGACCTTCAACTTCAAGCTTCCCCCTTTTTCGAAGCGCTAGGCCCATGCCCTTCACGAGAGACTAATGTTGACCCAGGATGAATACACCCATCCCATTCTTAGGGGGGTGTTCCCTCCAAAAGTGGTCCGAATCCCCACTAAAAGGGGACCCCTATTAATCAACCAAGGTTCATTAATCCGGGGTCAATCGGGGTTAACATTAGGGTGCTCTTTTGGTGGCAGCAAGAAGTGCTTGGGGTGGAGGACCCCTTAGGTTCTGGCGACTTGTCTGACCTGCCAGGTTTGGGGAGGCTGGCTTTGTCTCGGGCTGTAGGTTCCGTTCAAAGCCACCCGCCACCCATGTATCCCCTGTGAGCATCAGAGCTCCCCAGCCCTCTTATAGAGGAATCTCTCTTTTTGCACCCCTTTTCTGAGTTCCGCCAAAAAAAAACACTGACCAGCCCACTTCTGGAGGAAGCTACTCTTGCACCTCTTCTGGGGTTCCTGAAAAAACAACGCGCCGCGCGATGATTTTAGCGCTTGCCTCGTTGATGTAGATCTCAGTGGGCGCCTGAATCAAGATCGGGAAGAAACACATGCAAGGCCCCCGCACCTACCCCTCACCACCTCAGGGATCCGTCCGAAAAGGCCCAACCAAAACGTCCCCCTGATGGATTTTAGGGCTCGACAGCCGCTCGTTTTGAGACCCCGGGTGGCGCAACCCGGGGTGTACCAGGACTCCCGAGTTCTGCATACCAAGCCCAACCCTTCGGGCCAAACTCTTGGTTCAAAGCCCAAAGTGCGGCTTGAGTCCTCGCAGCGGAGCTCGCGTCCCACCTGTTGCATTGGCCGTTGTCGTGCATCAACATCGGGAGTCAAAAATATGGCCCGAGCATGAAAGGTCTCTCAAGTTCCGGGAGCGTGAAGTCAGATGATGGCGACTGCATCTGTCAATGAGGAATCTTGAACTCCTCTCTGTCATCATTGAAGAGACAGCCGAAGAGCTTGTCATCAAAGAGCTTGTCATGGAAACTGCGGCTTCAGGCCAAACGTCGGCCCAAGCACGCGTGGCTGGATCCACGGACGACAATGTATGGTGGACTGCAATGATTCCAACAATGTTTTTTCTTACGAAAATACTGCCCGGACGCTGCGGGCACACATACTGACGCCACGCGTTCTGGCACGCCACCGCGAACGGCCACCCAGTACCCCAAAAACACCACGCGCCCAAATATTGTAACTAGGTCCTCCAGTAGGGAGGTTAGAATATGGGTACCCTTTTTCTGTAGTCTATTTTAGTAGGGGAACCCTCCCCTCAAAAAGGGTAAAAGGGCACTATTGCGGGATCTAGGTAAGCTCTCGCTTGTTAAGCAGTGGCTATGCACTTGGCAAACCCTTGCCGGTTGAGCGGCTCTAGCAAGCCCAAAATTTCACGCTTGCTAATGTTCAACTTCCCTCCAATTGGTGGCTTGGAGCCCGGTGAGTTCAGGGTAGTTTGCTCGAGAAGCAGTTCAAGTTCAATCCCAAACAAATCCAGGCCACCAGCTACGGCTGACCCGAGGTTCAACGGAAAACCAATAGCTTCCAAGCAAAACCCGCACAACATGCCTGGGTCTTGTCCCGGCTCAAAATTTGGGGGGGGGGTTGGGCGCTTGAGGTCTCTGAGCCCAAGACCCATCGAAACCAGTGATATCTTGGGCCCATTTCAGACGCCTAAAGGTCAGCATTCTTCATGAATCTGTTCGCCTACAAAAGTGTGGTTCATGAGGCGAGTCTTTCCTAAAACGCCGCCTGAGGTATGTGCCAGGCGCTCTTTAACATAACGCACATTTCTCAAATGAGTTCGTCTCAAAATAGGAATCGGAACTCTAAAAGAGGCTTCGGTGGTCTTTTTGGATTCCCTTTGTAACCAAACGGGGGCCCCTTAATGTTGCCGCCCATATTAATAAACTGCAGTTTATTAATTGGGGGGTGTCCGTGGGTTTAGTCAGGAATCACTTTGAAGGAAACACCCCCTATTCACAAACTGGGGTTGATGTATATGGGGTCAACCTTAAAAGATACACCCAACTGTGCCATATCCAATGATTCAGAGCCGCAACGCAAGGGGAGCCATGGTAAGGTGGCGGGTGATGGTCCCAAATGGCCCCTAGTCATCAGTAGTCACCAATGGGCGTTTCGGCTGCGACGGACAACGCCGACCAGCCAAGCCCGTGCCTATTTGGGACACCAAAACGAAACCATAGACAGGCCTTTTTTTTAACACTCCCCATTTCGTTTATTTGGAAGTGAGAAGCCCGCGATTGATAAAAGCCAGCAGGGAATACAGGTAAATTGATAAGCCAAAGTGCCAAGGCTGACTCAATTGGATTGGTTAGGATTTTGGATTTGGACCTGGTTTTGGACCAACTTCCCCCAAAAAGGGAACCCTCCAACAAGCATTGACCGACCCATTGACGACCCATTTGGATTTGATTTTGGGCCCAAAAACGGCAAGCATTGACCGACCCATTGACAGACCCAGTTGGATTTGATTTTGGGCCCAAAAACGGCAAGCATTGACCGACCCATTGACAGACCCAGTTGGATTTGATTTTGGACTCAAAAAGGGCAAACCTCGCAAAAAATAGACCAACTTACCCACAAAAGGGTATACCCTACAAAACAACATGACAGGCGCATTGACAGACCTATTAGGATTTGATTTTGGACCCAGAAACGGGCACCCTCCCAACAAAATGGACGAACTTCCCCGCAAAAAGGGTATACCCTACAAAACAGAACAGGCCCATTGACAGACCCATTTGGATTTTGATTTTGGACCCAGAAACGGGTACCCTCCCAACAAAATGGACCAACTTCCCCGCAACAGGGTATACCCTAAAAAACAACATCACAGGCCTATTGACAGACCCATTTGGATTTGATTTTGGACCCCCAACAAAATGGATCAACTTCCCCGCAAAAGGGGATACCCTACAAAACAGAACAGGCCCATTGACAGACCCATTTGGATTTGATTTTGGACCCAAAAACGGGTACCCTCCCAACAAAATGGATCAACTTCCCCGCAAAAGGGGATACCCTACAAAACAGAACAGGCCCATTGACAGACCCATTTGGATTTTGATTTTGGACCCAAAAAGGGTACCCTCCCAACAAAATGCAAACAGGACCAACTTGCCCCCAAAAACTGGGGGCACCCTCCCAAAAACAAAGATGGACCTTGACCGACCCAGCATAAGAGAAACCTCCACCGAAAAATGAAAGGACCTTTTCCCCACCCCCTGTTTTTTGGACCAAACCAATAATGGACCTTTTTCCCCGCCCCTTTTTTTAACCTCCTGGACCGCCTTCTTGCGCAGCCGGCCCCGAAAAACGAAACCCACGGGAGCGTTTTTTCCCGCCTCCACGGAGACCATGAAATCCAGCTCGAAGATCCGCGTGCCGCTGTCGAAGTCCATGCGCAGCGGGCGCCCGGCGATGGCCGGCGCGTAGCTGCCTCGGCCGCGTCGGCGGCCGCGGTCTTCGGACCGGGCGGACCGGGCGCAAGAAACGCCGGGCGGGGGGAAGTCTTGGGGACTGCCATCCAGGGGGCGGTCCAACCAGAAATGGTTCCGTAAGGGGGGAAAAAAAATTCGGGGCTCCCATCCAGGGTCCAACCAGGGGTGGTTCCGTAAGGAACTGTAAGGTGGGAAATGTAGCTCAGTGGAGCCCAGGAATTTGTTTCGCCGCGATTAGGTTGGTAACCAACCAGTTCTTTTTGGCTTTAGATTAAAAGGGTGGTTTGCTTGGTTTCCTAGTATAAGGCAAATGGAATCACTGGGTAGGGAATCCATTTCGGGAGCGTGGTTCCAAGGCGTTGGCACATGCGGGCCATGTGGGTCTGTGTTTGTTTGGAGTGGTACCTTTTTCACATTGGTTTAAAGGGAAACCAAAAGAACAAACACCGTTTGTGGGAACGTGCAACCTGGCGGACCCTTCTTGGATGTTTTCTTGATGGAAGCCACAAGGAAACAACGACCACCGGGTCCATGCATTGCCCAGGCCCGATCGATCTTGCACGCAAGCTAGCCAAACGGTTCCGGTTCCCAAAACATGTGGGGCACACACAGTTGAGATCCTTGTTGATGTTTGTTTCAAGGTTCAACCACGGGTGACCAAATACTATCTGACACGCCTTTTTGGCGGCGAATCGGAAAGTGTCGCAATCCGAAAGTCTCGGCCAGACGGCGCGTGAGCGTGCGGAGCTTGTCGACCTCCACTTTGCCGTCCTTCATGAACATGGACTCCCCAGAATTCGCCTCAGTGTGCCCTCGCGATTGCTTGGTTTGGAGCCCGGTGGGACCTGGAGTTGGACTCGAACCATTTCCTGGATCTCTTTGAGGGTAAAAAGGAAAAACTACCCTGAACCGCCAAACCGCCGGGCTCCAAACCTCCAATTTGAAAAAATGCTGGCTCTCTTGGTTGCTGGGCCGTGGGAAAGCTTTCCGAAAAACCCAATGCCCGGCAATTGGTCAGGGTATGGTAGGGTATTCGGTATGTCAACCCTTGACCAAAGAAAGGATCGGTGTTTACCGCAAAAACCCAGGTTTACTGAAAGGCGCGGGTAATTGGAGTATTTCGAAGCAAGGGTCGCTTGAAGTGCCATGGATGTTTCCCCATAAACTTGGAGGCAGCCTAAAACCGGTTCACATTGAAAAAAAAAGACGAGCCAGGGTCTACGAAATCGGGTCCTCAATCGTGCGCATAGACGCAATCCTGCACCACCTGATAGAAAAAATGATAGAAGTACTGGGATAATGCATGGATAAACCACGGACCTACCCACAAATGGGAATCGGTTTCTGTCCATCCACGATATGGCCGCTGAAACAAATGCGCATTCGGTTGTCTAAGCAGTTTTCTCCCACCCAAAATCCCCGCTGTCGCAACTCCACCGCTGTCGCGTACTTGTGTTTTTGCTTTGGCGAAGTGCCAGGGTGGGAATGCGGTTGACTTCTGCGATGCCAACCACCCCCTTGCAAGTGATGAACTTGAGCATGTGGACAGGTATATAAGCCGTTGTGTGTGTGTGTGTAGTGTCTGGCGGTCGTTTACCGACCAAATTTATTCCAGTGTGATGTTATCTATTAGGAGTCGACATTGACGCAACCAATCGCAACCGACAACCAAGTGTTCCAACCATTAAAACAACCATACCACCTTGTCTTCTTTTACGAGAACCCGCCAAAGTGGTTCCCTCTAGTTTCCCTTCAAGACAACCACAAAATCACAAGCTTCAAAGCCGGACACCCGAAAACATGGGATTTAGTTTCCGCTTAAAACAGCCACAAGCCAACAAGCTTCCAAGCAGACACCCGTTTTCATGGGAATTTAACCATACTTCCTCGTTCATTTGTTTGTCTTAAATGTCTCGGATTCTTGGCCATCGAAAAGTCTGAGATAGACAGGGATCCTTGCATTATACATCTGAACATTGCCTTGCCAATGGTGGTTTCCCTTTATTTGGGTGTTGAAAAAGCTACATGTTTCAAATGGGCAGGCAAAATGTAGATCTTTTAAGGAGCCCTGTTCGAGACCCTTCAAAGCAGGACACCCATCTAACATGGGATTTACACATAGATTTCCCCGTTCATGGTCATCTCGGATCGCCTGGCCATCGAGTCTGAGAGAGAGACCTGCGCTCTGACGCTCTGACGCTCCGAGCTCCTGGCGGTGGTGAAGTCTTTGAACTTCTTGAGCTGCCAATAGGTCCAGCTCTGCCAGTGCGCGTCGGCGGCCCGCAGGAGATCTCAGGGCGGGGAATTACCAGCGGCATCCCAGCGGCACCGGCAGTGTTCAAGACCTTCCCCCTGTTTTGGGGCTTGTTGAAAACACACACACACACACACACGGTCTGTGAGTTTAGTCTGCTTGCTGACTAGCTAGTACAGTCTTTAACAAACACACGCACGATGTGGGGTTTAGTTTGTTTGCTGAGTAGTTATAGTAAAGTTCATCCCATTTCATCCCATTCGGAGAGCTTCATGCATTCCAACTGATGCTCAATGGATTTCCTCCGCGAGGCAACGGATCGAAAACTCCCCACCGACGGCTTTTTCAGAAAGCACCACGGTTCCCTCGTCATTGTTTGTCGTTTTCCGGAGGTATGGATAGAAAGTCCAAAACCCCAAGTGCGCTCTCTGAGAAGCAGTTGTTTGCGGGGGTGCTAGTAGTTATTATAAGGGTTCATGGGGGCTTGATGGGTCAATTGCGGAGTACAAACCACTGAGGGATTCTCGGATTCTTTCCTGCAAACGAACAAGAAGTCTGCAAAGAGGTTCCCCTCAATCAGGGGATGTGTTTGATTCCATGTGAGTCATAATCAAAGCCTGGCATTGAAATGGTCTACCCAGAACCCTATAAAGAATTAAAAAGGCGGCTGCACCCATTTATGGTTGGGATTATCCCTTTCTATCTTTCATCTACACGGGCTTTGATTGTGGCTCATGTTAATCTGCAGGGAAGCAGGTGCCCAACCCAGAATGGTCTAAGGCCCTACTAAGATACCCGCTTGGGCAGTCCGAAAATTTGTCGCGTGCTGCAAGAATTTCGGGTCAAAGGGGAGCCCGACAAAGGAATGAAGCGGCCCCTTCCCGCCCATTCGGCATGGAATCCCTTTCTGGGTAGTTGAGAGGTTCAGAGTTCCTTAGGGTTCCTTACTAAGGGAAGCCCTCGAAACTCTGCCCCTTGAATGATAAATGCCTCCCGAGTTGGAAACTCCGGCCACGGAAAAGCAGAGACACGCCTTTGGCTTTGTCACAAGTAAAACCCGGTGATATGTGGTCTACCCAAAACCATGTGCAGCAGAAACAAGGGCTACCCTCAAAAAAGACACACCCATGTACAGAATCCAGAGGGCTGCACTTTTGAGGGGTATCCCCTGGATGTTTTGAGCTCTTCCTGAGCAAGAACAGGGGCAAACCTTTGGAAGGCTTAATGGAAAAGCCAACTAACTTTCCGAAACGTCAAACACACGCTATGTCCCCTTACCTTCACAGAAACCAGGAGTTGCAGGAAATCAGATTTCCAACCAGCCCACCCAAAAACAAGTTCCAAGATGTCCTTTTCGAATTCCCCTTTTTGTTGGCCCGGGTTTCTTAGATTTCCTCCAGCAATTCATCCAACAACAAGTCGCTGTCCTCCCTTCTTGGCTGGGTTTCTTAGGATGTCCTCTAGCATTCACCCAACAAAAAACCAAAAACATGCCAATTTCTTCCAGCATTCCTTGGTTGCCAGGTTTCCTAGAAACCTCCCATCCCAACCTTGCGTGCAACTCACCTCCCGCGGCCTGAATTTCCTCCAGAATTCCTGGGTTGCCAGGTTTTCTAGAAACCTCCCACCCCGGTTCTCATCCACAACAAGCTGATTTCCTCTGGAATTCCTTTTCGCTAGGTTTGTTAGAAAACCACCCCCGTGTTTTTCTTTTTGGAGTGCTAACCCTTCCGCGGCTTCCTGCCGCCTTTTGGCCGCCCTCCTTTTGGGGCCCGAGGAGCTGCTGAGGTGCGTCAGCTCCTTGGCGTTGCCCGCCACGGCCCCGAACTCCGTCATGAAGCCGGCGAGGCGGTGCTTCTCGAGGAAGGGGAAGTAGGTGTGCTCCTCATAGAAATCGGGGGGGTGGGCGTTCACCCGTGGCTCTTCAATGGCTTTGCTCTTTTTTTGGAAGGCCCCGGCCAATACTGTGGATGGTGGCGAAATCCATTTCGCACCACCTAAGAAGCCCAACAGAATGATAGATCGCCTTGCAAATACCAAAGTTACCAATAGGTATCTCATGGTTTCAAAGTGGTGCAGGAATTCGTCCATCCACAGTAGGTGCCCGCCCATTCCCTTTGAAACCAACCGGGAAAGATTAAAGAACATTCTGAACAATTGCAAGCATTCCAGGAAGAGGGAAACTGTTTTTTTTAGAATTGGCCCATCATCTTATTTTGTTGCAGACATCGTAGAAAAGGGAACCGGTGGTATGTCTGGGTTCGGGCGGGGGTTGGCTGTATTCTCGGACTCTGCTCGATTTGTTGGTCCCTAGGAGCCTGCGCTTCCGGCCGTCCCTTTCAGCCGAAAGGAGGGAATCGAAATCCGCTTTGAGACAAGTTCTGGTGTCACACGCCCAGCTTCATATTTTTGGAGGAGACGTTCAGGGTGAGGCGCTTCGGAACCCTAAGCCTGGCTTCCTCGGACTTCAGGATGCTAGCTTATCATGACTCGGTGGCGAAATCTGCTCCCCTGCTAAAAGTGAATAACTTTTCGTGGTTGAGAGGAAAACCCATTTGGCAAAAAGTTAAAGTCCTAACATCCAAGCACAATGCACCAAAGATGACTGTCAAGGGCAAGATTGCTTTGCAGCTATGGGTCTGGAGTTTCGCTTGACAACCACCCACCCAACAGAAGCGCCTTGACAAGACACGACACACCCTAACTAGTATTGGCGGGGTCTCGCTCAGGGACCCCCCCAAAAAAAAGAAGAACCAAAGAAGCTCCTCTTGGCTTCGCTTTACAAAAACCACACAAAAACAAAAAAACACAAGTCCCCTCCAAGAACGACGAGCCATCCATATCCCCAACACACTGCCAAGACCCTTGCTTCTATTTGCTTAAGCCCCCCGAGAAAAAAAAAAAAAGTCCAGTAGTGATAAATTCCCTTCAAACCCAAGAGGGTTTTCTATACACAAAAAATAAAACATAAAAAATCAGCAAATGGAAGCTTGGAGCGCTCCGAACCACATCGAGGCGCAAAGATCTGCTGCGCCGCGTCGCACAAGAGCCCCGCGGGGAGGCTCTTGCCGTCGCCTCGATCTTCGAAGGATTCGCCGCCCGGAAGCGGGCGGTTTCAAGCCAAGCAAAACCCTCCCACCGTTTTTTTGTTGGGGGGTTTTGTTTCTAATACTATATGGAACCCGACGTTCCGGGGTTCCCTTAAAAAGGAAAGTGAGCTTTAGCTTGCTAAAAAGGGTTTGGCTTACCATGATGTTATACCCTACTCACCTTGCTGGTGCGAGAGACGCAGGGAATGAGAAACGGGTTGAACCCGATTTGAACCATCCTTGGGGTCCCCGAGCGCCAGCGTCCAAATTCTAGACGCTGCTCCAGGCGATCCCAAAGCTCCCGAACGGACCCCATGAGACTTGGGTCCATTGGATCGGCCTGTGAGCTGCCAGGTTGGTCTGAGGGTCACAATTGATCACCAGGATATGGACTGCAGATTTTAGTCAATGTACCTGGACCCTCAAAACTCCCTTAAAAATGGGATATCACCCCATAATTTTGGGGGTCAAACCCATTTTTAAGGGAATTTTGAGGGTCCAGGTATCCATTTACCAGGGCAACCCATTTTGGGCACCTATTTTTGACCCACAGCCATATTGGTCTGAGGAACTGTACCATCTCACACATGGTCAACTCCGAGTCGGTGTCCTTCTGCCAAGGATTTGTCTACCAAGGCCAACAAAAGGGTTCAACCCAATTGAACGTGTCCATTTTCGACCATCTCCCCAAACATTGTGAATTCGTCCGGAAAAGGGTGGTGTTCTCAATCGGCCTTAAGCATGAAACTCTTGGGTGACAAGGGTGGGTTGAGGGTCTCCTTGTAATCCAAATACCCCTTTTTGTTCAGGGAATTGTTGAAACAACAAAAAAACGGTTTTCCAGGGTAAACATCTACCTCCTGGTTTAGTATAACGGGTTGACATCATACCCTAAAACAAGACCGGGCCCGTAAGAGGTTTCGGGGGTACATGATTCAATTCCAAAGGTTCTAGTTGTGGCCGTAATTGTCACCACCTTTTGGTTCCGGTCCTCATGGTTGCGATTTGTGATGTTTGTTCCTGGAGTCTTCATGACCCTGGAACAAGGGGGGGGGGGGGCCTGACAAAAAAAAGTAGATGACCCACCGAGATTGCCAGCTGCGAATGGCTTTTTCCCAGCGGCCGTGGCTTGGGTAAAGTTGAAGTGTAGTGTCTACGGGAAAGACGCAACTTGGATCGCTCCAGTCGTTTTGCAAGGTTGGCCTCCATAAACATGAGCCGTCTTCTCCCTTTGGCTTCCCGTTAAACAAACCCCCGAAAAGGGGGACCCCATGTGTTTTGAAGGGCTATTGGACTTGGTACCCAACTTTTGGAGAACCTGTGGCACTTCAACGGAGAGTCTCAAATCGTCCTTTGCCGATTCCGCTGGGCCCTTTGTCTCGACCAAGGGCCCGCCTGGAGCGCAGTAGATGTGGTAGGCCAGCGCTTGCTGGGGGTCGGCGCCCAGCGCCGGAGCTGGGAAGACCTGCCGGAATCCGCTTGCCATCCTGTGGGTGGCTCTTCTTTGTTTTGGTCCAGGCGCTCTGTGCCCCGGTTTTCTCCCTTCTTATTTTTTGTGGGGGGGGGGTTGAAAGGGACACCACCAGTAAAACAACATTGGTGTTGTGTTTTTTCTATTTCGCTTCTTTTTTTGGAGGGGGGGAGAGGGTCAGGCACCGTCCATGATGGTTTGGATTGGCCATGGCAAAGCGGAACCCATTGACGCAAACCTGTTGAAATGGTGGTTTGGATTGGAGGTTTGGGGATTGCTCTCGCTGAGGGCAAGCGATTTCCTTCAACACCTACAGAGGGAAATCAACAAAATAGTCTGCGACGCAAATGGAGTTAAGTAAGGGAACAAGGAATCCGATTCTCTAACTTTTCGTACCATGGTGTGGTTGAGTATGGTTCTTGCATTTCGGGAATCAATTTACATGCTGTTTTTGTGATACAATCCCTAATGTGAGGATTTAAGCCCAAGGGGATGGCTAAAATTGAGCTAAAATGTCTGGGGATGTTTGCCATCTACTTTCGTTGGATTTCGTTTTGGGAACTGGATGAAAGGGGAAACCCTCTGAATGTGTTTCACGTGGCTTCCCTCCATTTGCGTTTTTCATCCCCTGGAACACCATTTCCAGTAGTAATAGATCCCTTTGAAGCCAACAGGCGAAAACAAATGGGCATGGGTCAAAATTAATCCACCAGGGGACCGCAGGTTGTGGTCCTTGTTTCCTTTTGTCAGGGTTCCATTTTGGGGTTACCCTATTTTTGAGCCACACCCAAATAGTCTTAAGCAAATGGAAGCTGCCCGTCCGAGAAAGCGTAGTCTTCAATCCGAGGACCGGAATGGTTGATTGACAATTTCGGGTGTCTGCGGTTTTGGGGATCAAACAGACTGGCCTTCAGTTGCAACCCGGGCAATGCTACAAAACACAAGAAAGTCACAAACACCAACAAGCCGAAAAGCCACCCGCCCTGGAATAAAAAATCCTTAAAACAAACAAGAAACAATCCTAACAAAATGCCCCTCCTTACAAAAGCCATTGTCTTCTTTTTACATTTGGGGCGTTTGTTTTTGGTCTCAGCCCAGAGCCAGGAAGACAAATTGAAACCTTTTTTTGGGAGACCATGGTTAGGTTCGGAACCCACCAAAAGGAACTGTGGCAACTGACTGTTTAAGCCCCAAAGAACCAAAGGGCACTTTAAAAGGCAGCTCAATTGGGGAATCTACATCTAGAAACCGGTTTGGATGCGCCTTTTGTGGATTTCACCGGTTCTTCCCCCTGCTGGTCCTTTTTTAATACTATTTTAGTACTCTTGTAAGCTTCTACAGGGGTGGAACCACAAAAACCACATCCAAACCGTTTTCTATATACAGTAAGCATGTTTTTTGGTGGATATCAATCGCAGATGGGATTCAAGCCCGCCACTCTTGAGAGCAATCCAACTCTTAAAACTATATTTTCCCCATGTGTCAAAACGAACTGAGGCTCAACCCATCGATAGGGCAGCTAGCCCCATGGAAGTGTCTTTACTTTGTGGACCCCCACAAAGGGTTTCTTCCAGTTGCTGTTTGCCAAAAACAATCCAGCGGTGAAACAGATCCCTTTCAAACACCAGCGGAAAAAAGAAGAAGAAAAAAAACGTAAAATGGACGGTGGCGATTGGGAGGTTTATGAATATAGGTAGTTCTTTCGCAAATGGAAGGGATCGAGCAAACCCTTCAGCCAATGGAAGGTTTCCATAGCCCAAAAAACATCCGCCGCCTCTCTCGCCCGGTTTTTTCCTTCTCCTTTGCCTCCGCCCCGAGCTTGGGCCACACCGTGGCCTCGTAGAAGATCACCTGACGCGAAGGCTGCGGGGCCTTCGGGGCCTTCGGTGCGCGAGATCGGGGAAGGTGGTGGAACGCACCCAGGGATCCCCTGAAAGGTTTTTTTTCATCATGGGGGTTGGGGGGGAGGGGAGGGGAGGGGAGGGGGAGGAGGGTATTATGGGGGCTGGGGAAAAAGGGGGAGGGCTTATTTGGGCTCCCTCCCCGTCCCTCCCCCCCAGAACCCATGATTCTAAAGCATCTCTTGTGGTTTCCTTTAAGGAGCAAGAGAATTGCTGGGCTGCTTTCCCATCGCTTTTTGAGGTGGTCCATCGCAACGTGGCGCGAAAATCGGTGGGTTTCAGCTGCTCTTCAGCTTCCCTCGTTGTTTGGTCGCTTGGAGCCGAATCGGTGGTGTGGTGGTTTCCTAATTCACTTTTAGGTTCAGATCCCAAGCCACCCACCCACCCAAACTGCAAACTCGTGGAAAGCTCAACGTGGAAAGCTCAATTCCTCTGGTGTAAAAGAAAAGCCAGGGTGCCCTCAGGAAGGTCAAATTCAGTTCACCAGTTTGGGAGCTTGTAGTCCCTAAAATGGTGGATGACATTTTATCCGGAGAAAAAAAAGGAGAAACAAAACACAAGCCATTTTGAGGAACACCCCATACAGGTGCTCGTGAAAAGATTCGAAATCGCAGCTAATTACCTATGTGCTGCTTGGTCTAAACTGACATCTGCTGCCATGAATCCGGCAGGTCTATAATATATGAATCCTCCAGAAATCGTCCCATTCTTTCCAAGGATCCGTATCTTTTCAGAAAGACACCAACTCCAACACCCACCCGTGCAAACCGCAGGTTTTTGAGAAAAGAAGGGCGGTTGAAAAGAATGGTAAAGAATCTACCAATAGAAATCCGGGGTTGGCACTACTACATAATGAACAAGGGTTCTTGTAAAACCAATGTCCGTCATTACAAGAGCAAACTGATTGAAATTCTCCATCCCTTTAAATATCACCCCTCCCCACCAAAAAAAGGAGCGCCTCTGGTGGAAATCAGCCTTCGCATTGCACATTGCGCTAGGTCCTCCAGTAGAGAGCATAGAATAAGGCTGCCAACTTGTTTTTGTAGTCTATTTTAGTAGGGGAACCCTCCCCCAAAATATGACCCACCCGAAATTCTGGTTTTCCCAGCTGGCTTCCTTTTAAGCCAACCCAAAAAGGGCACCCTGAAAGCAAGACACCCTCACCTTCCCTCACCTTGCGCCCGCCAAAAAAAAACGCGGAGGCCATCGACTCGACGACTTACGCCTTCCCGTCGCGTCGCCTGCTGGGCGCCCTCCGCGCGGATCTTCTCCGCGGCTGCCTGGTAGAGGGGCGTCAAGAGCTCCGCCTGCGGCGGCTTCCCTGGCGCCCCGCCCCAAAGTTCAAAAAAAAAAAACGAAAACGGGGCCCTGGAAATAGATTCTGGGGCTCCCTGCAAAATGGGGCACAAAACCTGTCTGTGTCCCCGAAACATGGGCCGAAAAAGAACAGGGGTGGCATTTTGGGGAAAGACATGAAATACAGGGGGTTCCCTGCCCCGTGTATTTCCCCGAAACATGGGCCGAAAAGGAACAGGGGTGGCATTTTGGACAAGAAGCAACAAATAGATGGGGCTCTCCTGGCAAATGGAGGGCATATAAAACCCATCTAAGCCGGTGCCTTCGATGGTTTTCAACGCACGAACCTAAAGAGGACACCTACTGTGGATGGACGAAATCCTGCACCGCCTAAGAGACCCTGGAATGATCATTCCCCTGCAACTACCAGCAAATAATGGTTTCCCATGGTATCAAAGTGGTGCGAACAGATTTAGTCCATCCACAGTATGGCCCAAACGTTGACCCCAATGCACAAAGCTCTTCGCCAACGGAGTATCCTTTGGCCCACATGAAGTTCGACTGGCACTGGTTGAGCTCACCAGCAGAAATCGATTCGAAGCGGCCTGAGCTCGGGGCCCAACCAACAGTCCCTCGAACAAGTTCATAGTCCAGACCCTCAGGGAGTAAAGCTCGAGACATGGTGTTTACGGCTTCCGGGTGTCAGCGTCCGATTTTTGTTGGGGCTATGGGGCTAGGTGGAAACCCCCCCTCAAGCTCGAGGAATCGGATGCCTTGAGCCAGGCAGGTTCTGGGGCCACAAAATACTTGACGTTGGAAGGGGAGCCACCATTTTTTTTTTAGCAGTTAAGTGGATTCGGAGTTCAACCACTAAACCACCATAAGCACAAATGAAAACATGTTTCCCAACAACAACCATGAAAAAGGTGCTTATCTCCAGGACAAAACCAGAAGAACCTCCCGGAACCGTGGAACCCCCAAAAAACCCCGGCCAGGAGCACGCTCCGTCCAGAATTTCTCGGGTGGGTTGTTTCAGGCTCAAATCAGAGGGATGAGCTCGACCATTTGTCCTCGTTTTTGCAAAGGAAGGGTCATATGTTTTTCTTTTTCTCTGGAACTGAAGGCTGCCCGTTGGCGCATCTCTTCTGAGGGTATCTTTTGGGTTGCTTGGACCTGTCTTTTGTTAGGGAACCCGCTTTTGGGAGTGCTTGAAAGCTTGAAAGGGACACCACAAGGAAAACTGCCGGTCTTTTAAAAAGACAGATGCGCTTTGAAGGGAACGAACGCCCATCGAAGTCAACATATGTTTCATGTATCCCCAACCGCCCCGGAAAGCTCTGAAACCCTCCGCCTATCTGGGCCTGTCAACCCCATAGCTTTCAGCTGAGGAACAGGAACAAACCGTCTCAAGGATTCTAGAACAGAGTCGCATGGGACCCACTTTGTGATTTTCAGCTTCTCTGTCTCTAACCCAGTGGTTCTATTTTCCTTGCCCAGAGGCTCCGATCGGCTTCGGCTTTCAATGGAAGACCCGACCCCGCAGCATTAGACACCCCCGCTAACCGGTGGTTGGGACCGGGTCTCAAAACCAGGTGAAGTTTGAAGGCCCGAAATCCATCGAGTTGGAGCCTCTGGTTGCTTTTTGCAACCCCGGATCGAACCTTTTGCGATTCGATTCGCATCGCCTCCACCTTGTTGTCAAAACGGATTGGCATGGACTCGCCAGACATCTTGCAGCCCAGCTCGGTGTTGTCCTTCCATCGATCGATCTTTCATGTGGATGTTCTGCTCCTGTTTTTTGAGGGTACTCTGTTTAAGGTTCCTTTAAATGGGACACCAACGCAAAAACCGCCTTTTTGAGGGTCCCCGATTTTGACACATGCCATGTGGGGACGTGGTGGACATCTGGTGGACATCTGGTGGACACTTGGTGGACACTTGGTGGACACCTGGTGGACATCAGAAACTCGCTTCGGGGGATCATGGCCATTCACTGAACAAAAAACATAGACGTGGCTGGAAATACACAAGATCACATCATAACCATGTCGGGCGTGGCTGAAATCCAAGAGCTGCGGCTACGCAGGCTTTCATCTTTGCGTCCATTTACCCAGGCGTAAATGGTACATGTCTTGAGCCACCATGTGAAAACCATCAACATGCAAATCGTGGCCTGCTTTAGCAAAACAATCGCGGCAGATTCTGTCTGAACATGGGACTCACAACAGGCTCTGTGGTTTCCAAGCAACAGGAACGACCATATCTGGGGTTCTCTCGGTTGCGAAATCTGCTCCCCTGCTAAAAGTTGAACTTTTAGTGGTTTAGTGGAAAACCCCTTAGTTGGCAAAAAGTCAAAGTCCTACCAGCCAAGCAAAATGCACCAAAGTTCTGAGGCTACTCCTTGCAAAGAGCCTAGCCCCTGATTGATGGACCCAGTAAGCCCTGGGGTATACATTTGCCCACCCCCAAAGCCATGCCAAGGACCTTTTTGAACCATCCCACTCGGCCAATTCAAACAAAGAACCACTAGAAGCCATGCCTACATTTGCATTTGTCGTCCCCTGATTTGAAGAAAAACATATCCGGTGGTGGATTTCCTAAAAACACATGAAACATCACACAGATTTATTTGAGGCAATGGAAGGCAAAGGTACCAACCAAAACATAGTCCACCACAAGAAGCCTTTGAACTTCTTGCAACACGACACCTGTTCCAACCAATTTAAAAGCAGTCAAAGCCATTCCTCGACTCAGTGAAAACCATCCAAGGACACAAACAAAAATACGCCAACATTTCAGGCAACATCCAGAAAATAAGAACACCGTCCCAAAACAGGAACCCCAACTAGACGGCCCAAGTCAACCTTTAAAACCATCCGCAGGTTCCAACCACATTAAAAGGACGAAGGTTCCCATATCAGAAAGGACCTGTTGGAGAGGTCGCTCCAACGACCTGCGGAAGGATACATTTGGATCTGTTGTTTTCTCGAGGGAACCCCAAAATGGGCGGGTTTTCCCTTTTGGTTTTCCTTTAAGACCACCAACAAGGGATACCTTGAAGGAAAAACAAGACGCACCCAATGTTAAGGTACCGTTCGATTTGGGCAAAGGTAGTTGATGTCCCTTCAACTCCTTGATTCACCTTCAAAGAGGCATGTTATTTCAACCTAAACATCATAAGCCAAAGACACGGTCCAAACAAAACTGGGCTGTCCTCAGATCCCCAGCTAAAAGTCTAACTTTCACTCGTTCAAGTGGAAGCTACCACTAAACCCACTAAAATAGCTAAAACCCCAAGTTGATCCACTAAAAACATAACAACTCAAGTGGACCCACTAAAAACAAAATCTAAACCACCCAAGTTGGACCAGATGGCTGGTGGAACCACCCACCCAGAGGCTCCGATTCGATTGATTTAGGGCCTACAAACATGACCTGGTTTTGAGACCCGGTCCCAACCACCAATTCCCGGAAGTGTCTAATGCTGCGGGGTCGGGTCTTCCATTGCAAGCCCCAGGCCGATCGGAGCCTCTGGGCCAAAAAAAACAAACCAAAACAAAAACAAAACAAACAAAAACAAACAAACAAACAAACAGGAAAAAACAAACCAAAAAAAACAAACAAAACAAACAAAGTGGCCTTCCAACCGGTTTCTCCGGCCACTTCGGCTTCTCGGCTCCCGCGCAACTCGCGCAACTGATCCCTCGGATTTCCGGGATCACCCCGGCGCCTGGAGGCAGGTGCCCGAGGGCTCGTTCAGCAGCTCGTAGCCCAGGACCTGCGGCAGGTCCTGGCGCCGCGCGGCGCGTTTGTTTCGTCGCGCCCGGCCCCGGCCCCGGGCGGCGGAGTTTTCGCCGAAAACTCGGGGGTGGCTACAAACCGAAGTTGTGACTGGGCGAGGTCCAGATTTGAGAGGTTAGAATTTGGGTACGCGATGTGTTTTTTTTCTTAATTTTTTTCTGTAGTCCATTTTAGTGGGGGACCCTCCCCCGCAAAAGGGTAAAAGGGCACTACTGGGGGACCTAGCGGGGCAAGCCGGGTGGTGGTTGGCTGATCACCGTGGGTATAAACTACTTACTAAGTAGGTTGAAGCAGGAAATCCAGAAAAATGCTGCAAGCCCAAGTTGAACCGGATGGCCTGGTTGAACCAGCAAGGGGATGTCAAGCTTCAGGAAAGCAGACTTGTACCAACATTGTGACGGGGGTTTGCCTGGAGGTGGTGAGCTGATCACCATGGTTATAAACTACTGACTAAGTAGGTTGAACCCTCAAAATTCCCACTTAAAAATGGGTTTGACCCCCAAAATTATGGTTGGTGATATCCCTTTTTTATGGGTATTTTGAGGGTCCAGGTAGGTTGAACATCCCAAGTATCACAGAAACGGATGGATGGCTTATAGCCAAGGGGAGGCGCGCGGGAAGCGTGGCAGGCATGGGCATGACCTACAAATGCAGAGTCGTGGTGATCAGTATTCTAGGGGTACCTTGCCCATTCTTTCCAGGGATCCTTCTAAAACAAAAAAAACTGGGGAAACAGCTGGTTTTTGAGAACAATCGTTGAACAAAATGGGCAATCAACCCTAGAAGTATATCTTGGGCAACTCGTGTTAGCAAAACTGGAGTTAGTTGGCCTATAACCATGGTGTTAATCTACTTGATAAGTAGGTTGAACACCCAAGTAAGAATCTTGGCGCCCTGGAGAATTGATAGTGGTTCCCTAACAAACAACACACGTACGACCCGGCGGTAACAATCATGCAATCGGCCGGGTCTCTGCTTCAAAGGTTTTTAGTTCCAGAACCCTCCATCCACTTTCATGTTTGTTGGAAAGAGCGTACTTGGATGTGCGTTGCCTGCGTCAGGCTACGTAGGTATTGACTTTATACCCGTTTGCCTGGTTGTGCCCTACTTAACAAGTAGATTGAACACCCAAGTAAGAATCTTGGTGCCAGGGGGGGAAGTGGGCTTTGTTCCACCTTAAGCAGCTTACCTCAAAATGGCCATCTCTACTCTTGGTATGGTAGCAAAAAAACTTTTGCTTTTTGCAGACCCCCAGTAAAAACGAACAGAACCAAAAAACCAAAAACCCAAAAAACACGCCAAGAACAGCGAGGTGGCTTCTGTCCCACCCGAATCCGAGGATCCCTCGAAATGGGATTTCTTCACTTCAATTAGCGGAGGCTCGCTCGGTTCGGGGGCCGCCACTCGCGAAAACCAGCGGTGTTTCATCAAACGGCGGCGAACACTTGGAGAGGGGTGCGCGTTGATTTTTCCTGTCTTTGTTTCATCTTGTTCCGGCAGGAGGACCTGGATGTTCACCTAAAGAAGTTGATCAATGTACTGGTGGCTCCCATTGAAACGATGGGTTTCTACTTGTGGAGCTTCCCTTGAAAGGGACATGGAGGAAAATCCTGTCCGTGTACTTATGAAATGGACATAGTGGAGGGCAATGCCCACATTCCAGGCAAGTTCTCACTGCGACCAAATCTTGGCCTGTCTGAGGCACTCCAAACTAAAGTGTTAAGATTATGCTTCACATTCAGTCTACCCTAAATCTTAGAAAGATAAGAAACCGGGACTTCTACAGGGAAATCGCCACTTAAGGCTTACCTGATTGGAGACCCATTTCGGATTCCGTTCTGTTTCATGTGCCATTTAGTCTGCCCTAAAATCGTTTTGGAGACCCGAGAAAAAAATGACCTTCCCTGAAATCGCTTTGTGGACCTGCCCCCGAGAAAAAACAAAACCAGGCCACAAACCCGATAAAAAAGAAGAAAAAAGAGGAGGGAAACCCCACGCACGTCTTTTTCCACCTGACATCCCGCCTTGAGCTCCTTTGCCACCGCGGACCAAAAGCGCAAGAAGCCCTCGTGCAGCCTGGAGCCTCGCGGATATTTTTTTTCTCGGGAGCAAGCGAGGCGAGAACCACGATAAGGAGCCCATAGGAAGCCAAGTGAAGGTGTTCATGGGGCATTTTGGCAAAAGCAGGGCTGTGGGGAATGGAATCCACTTCTGTGATACAACAGAGATGGGGCTTCCCAAAGACTATGTTGTTTTTTATAAAAATGGGGGATTCCCTTGTATCACAGAAGTTGGGAGAAACCCCTTGATCCCACAACCCTGAGCAAAATGATTTGGCCTGTCTTCTTGGAGTTGCTACTCTTTGTCTTGGTTTATTCAAAGGGAAGCCAAAAGGTTTCACCCTTGCCATTTGACCCCTTGAGACAAACCGAAATGATGTTGTAGTTCCTTGAAAGAGCGTCACGGCCAGAGTCTGAGAGTTGCCTCCCACATAGGTGATGTCTTTTCTGGCGAAGAAGTCTTGGGGGTTGGTGTCAAGGGAAACCGTACCACGTTTGGGCTCGCAACATCAAGAACCTCCAACGCAGAACTGCGGAGAAAACGAGCTCTATTGACAGGCATGACGAGACGTCCAAAATCGCCATGGCTTCCAAAAAGGACTTGGAGTTTAGTTGGAATTTTGAGGGTCCACGGACGCGCATGATCAGCTGTTGAATAATTTGAGTTGAAAACATGTTTGGACAAAGGTGCCATGCTTAAAACTCCCAAAATCTGATGACCCATCCCTACCAACCTCAAGTTAAATCGTCTTTTCACCATGGCTCATGTTGCATCACCGAACCATTGACCGAACCCCAACCACTGCTTTTTAGGCAGTACTTGGATGTTGCACCTGGGAAAAAGCAGTTGTTGGGGAGTCCACGTGTTCCTCAAAGGCGGTAGGTTTGAGGCCACATTCCACTTGAACAGCCAAGGGATGGTTCCCAAAAAAAAACACCTGGAACACCATGTGTGACACCAATGCGGTGGGTCCCCATGTAAACTTTCGCACTTTATAGTTGGGATTCTGGATTTGTTTGGTATCACGAAAAGTGCCTCGAAATCCGAAGTTGCCAACCATGGACACAGCAGCAAATATGCTCTGCTTCTGCTTCTTCTTCTTCTTCGTCTACAACTTCTTCTTCTTCTTCTTCTTCTTCGTCTTCTTATCTTCGTCTTCTTCAACTTCTGCTACGCCTTCTTCTTTTTCTTCTTCTTCGTCTTCTTCTCTTCTTCTTCTTCTTCTTCAACTTCTGCTACGTCTTCTTCTTCTTCTTCGTCTTCTCCGTGCACCCTCCACGTTCGCTCGCCTGGTCTGTACAGCTCGTCGAAGAGGGCCCCCACTTGGTAGGTGCTGTAGTACTCGCTGAAGAGCCTCAGGGCCAAGCAACCTACACAAGGGCATTTCGGGGGGGGAAAAAAACGAGAAAAAAAAGGAAAAAAACCGGCCATCTCCCCTTACCTTAAGGTTGGTAATCCTTTTGGGGTGGATTTCTCAACAAAAACACGGCAATGCCCCTTTCGCTTTTGGGCTTGGGAACCCCTTGGCTTGAAAATTCCTCTGAGGCTCACGTTTACTGGAGGTCCCTCAAGGCTCCCTGGGCCTGTCCCAACTCAACACCTTCCAGTTGTGTTTTCGCCCCCCGGGGAAAAATGAGAACCTGAACCCGCAAAATTCCCTTAAACATGGGTTTGACCCCCAAAATTAGAGGGTGATATCCCTTTTTGATGGGTAGTTTGAGGGTCCAGGAACATATGTCCAGTGAAATCGATCCCAACTTCAAAACCAACAAGGGAAACTATGAAGTATTCGTTTCAGCAAATGGAAGAAACTGTCTGGGCGGATGGCCCACAAAGAACCTCCTAGCTGGAAGTGAAGCAACTCATCGCCCAAGCAAGTAATTGATTCCGGGGCCCAACTAAGGGGCCTTACACCTCACGATTCCAGTGATTCGCCCCTTCAGTTCTCGTCCCTTGGGTGTTGCACCAACCTAGTAGGTTATAAACCCTGGTCATAGCCCCAGTTACCCCAGCTATCTCGCCATGGCCTATTTGGCTGTGGGTCAAAAATTCCTGGTGGTTTCATTTTGACCCATACCCATTTGGTTGCACCCAGCCGAACAATCGCGCCGAAAAAATCGGCCCGACTCGTCGTCTTCCTCGCCTCTGGAGGCACGCCGGGAGCTCCGGGAACTGCGAGGCGTTCTTCGGCAGCGGCGCGAAGGGCGCCGGGAAGGCCCCGACCTGCGCGGCGTTCGCTCGCGCGCGCTCACGCGTGGGACGTGGTGAGTTGCCAAAGCGCGGGGAAGGACCTTCCGGGCGGGAATGAACCATAGGATCCGCCCGAAGGTTGTTGTTCTGTCGATTTTGATGACTTGTTTGCCTGTGGGAGAAACCGTCCTTACTCCAGCGCAATGAGGTCTAACTCTTTGTGGTATAGAGCTCCTAGACATCTCTTGGGGTGTGAGCCAGGTACTCAGTGCTTCCACGGCCACGAGGCGGCCAAGTAAGGCCAAAAGCACGAGAACGAGAACTGGCGGCCTACCTTTCGAGGGTCAAGTCTTCAAGTATACGTCCATATGGTGAACCCCTGTTATGAAGCCCGGTTAGTGCTGGCTATGGGAAATCAGCCCCAAGAGGGCGATGGGTTCATATGTCGACCGATACAATCAGCCTTTGAGGCTAGGACAACAGTTGTCAGCCGCTCATTTTCACTGAGAAGGAGCGCGAAAGTGAACAGTTGAACATCGGCGGTGTATCCACTTGGTCTCCTTTTTTTCCCGCCTTAGTGTCCTTCAGACCCAAAAAAACACATACTGGAAGGGGAGATCGAATAATTGCAATAACCGTCCCATGATTGTGCAATGGCTTCAATGGCTTCAATGGTAGCCAACCTAATTTCAATTTCTCACGCCGGTACAGTACCCGCGACAAAAGCACATTGGTAGGGGTCCCTATAGGGTCAATGGTGGCTTTCCTTTTAGCTTCCTAGCCCAGGTTGAAAGGCAACTCCGGAAATCACCCATTGTCTCCTGTCCTCTGCATCAGCATTGCACTTTTCGAGTGGCTTGGGGAAAAGTAATCGGTACGGAAAAGGCCATCAGTTGTACTCCTACGGGTCTCCGAAGAACACACCCAGCGTGAGCAAATGACCCAGCGTCAGCAAATGAGCAGAGTGATCTATTTCACGCAAAGGGATCGCAAAGGGGAGGTGTCCATGCAGCCTTGTCTTTCCCTGCGGAGCCCAGTTCCCTCCAATCATGGAAGCTGACGATGGGATTGGAACTTTAAGCCGCGACACGTCCCCTTCCGTTGGAAGCACGGTTAACCTCAGCACACGCCCCTTGGTTGAGAGGAAAACCGCCCGAGCAACAACCTTGGAAAAGGAGATGGCTCTGGGAAATGGATGGCAAGCCATCTAAACCAGGAGCCCATCTTTTCGACCCAAAGTAACCGATTTCTCAAGGACACCTATGCCTAAGCCACACCCAGCTCCGGCTCCTCCGCTTCCCAACACCCAAAACACCAAGCCTGCGCCATGCGGCTACCAGGATTTCGGAACAGCTCCTCGACATAGGCCTCGTCGGACTTTTTCCGCCGATTTTCCGGTGGCATAAGCGACCGACCAGCGACCCGTCAAGACAAGGACACCTTTGGAACCCAAATGGTATGGGCTTGCAAAACACCGGGTTGTTTGAATTCGCAGCCCACTAAACGTGAACAGGACCACAACACCTGAAAACCGGGGGAAAAAAAAGAGCGCGATCCAACTACAGTGACGAAACAACCTGAATTGGTTCTGGCTCTGAGTTCTTGGGGGCGATCGGAACCCAAAACGGTGGAAGATTTAACCACCAGAAAGCTGCCAAAGATATGCGTTGATTGTGAACAAGTTACGGGTAAAACACCCTTGGTACCAAATCCTGATTAGAGGCTTCGGGAGCTGGCTAAGTGGCTCCCCTGATTCAACTGCAGTCAGGTTTCAAACAAACCCTTGCGACTATAGGGTCTACTAATTGGTTAATTTTCGAACGTATAAAAGATTGGATTGTACGTGTTTGGCACTAGTAGAAAAGTGGAAATTCAGGCAGCTCTGGAGATTCAAACTACCTGGAGTCTCCATGACCCTTAAAAACCCCTGACTGTTTGATTCCGCCCCCTTTTGAAACCTGACAGTTGCTGGTTTTGGTGCACCCTCTTCCTTGGATGAAGCATCTTTCCTGTCAGAAAACCTGGGTGCAGTCTCCAATCACCGACTCAAAAGGGCAACATCTGCCTCCCAAATAACCCGACTCAAAAACGGCGTTTCGCTGTCCTCTTGTCCGACCAACAAAAAAGGGCTGGTGCTCAGTAGGACATGTGGAAGATTGAACCCTAGGTGGCCCCTCTTCAAGAAAACCACAAAAATGGGTTTCTATGGGTCATTCCATTTCTCAATGCCTGCATCTCTCGCACTGGCCAGTGATGCCCACCCCATCAGACTTCCTGCCTCCGGCACTCCTTCTCCGCAGAAGTAGCGCGAGCCCAAATCCTACGAGTCCAGCGAGCGAGCGAAGCCAGCGAAGGAGTTGCCTACACGGGGGGCCAGGGGTACTTGGAGGTTCCGTTCCTTGCCTACGTCGGGTTTAAGGGGTTTGAACCATGGGGATGAAAAAAAAAAAACACAAAGCCCAGGCAAACCCCAGGCAAACAACCTGGGTTGTAAGCTACCTTCATCTTGATCAGGGGCCACGGGCCCTCTGGGTTCAACCATCTTGGGGGCCAACAGCCCCATATATTCATAGGAACCCCAGTGAATCCATCTGGTGAAGGCAGGTCACCCAAACAAAAACAGCCTTAAATCAAAACAAGAGCTGCACATCGCGAAGGGCTACCTACTGTGGATGGACGAAATCCCGCACCACTTGATACCATGGGAAACCATTATTTGCTAGTATTTGCAGGGAAATAATCATTCCAGGGTCTCTTAGGTGGTGCGAAATGGATTTCGCAACCATCCACAGGACTATAGTGGCTGGCAACTGGGATCCACTGGGAGAGGTGACTTCTCGGATCCAACATCCGGCGGCTCCTGAGTCAGCCGAGGCCTAGTTGAAAAATGGACGAAACACTCCACATGCATTCTTCGTCCCCTGCAGAAAAAAAAAAACATGAGAACCTATGTCCCAGAATGGAGTCCCTTTAGAATCCCAAAAAAATCGCAACATAGGGAAAACCTTGACTCTTGACATCAATTGAAACCTCACCTCTCCCAGTGCCCTGAAGGGAGCCTTCCAGGCCCCTGTCGGACTCTCGTCTTCCTGCCACGCCAAGCCATGCCTGGTGCAGATCGGCCAAGGTATAGACGCCACGCTCGGCGAGCTCCCGCGAGATGCGGCTCACGTTCTTGAGATAGCCTTCCGCGCGCGCGCAAATCCGTGCCGCAATCCTCTGCTCGATTCCCTCGAATTGGTGGCTTGGATTGGTGGTTTGGTGGCTAAGATCCGACGAACCAGCATACCACTGGACCTACTGCGGGGTGACTTTGATGCTGGTAGAATAATGAGGCTAACAGGGCCTCATGTCCAATTCCAATCCAAGGTTTTCTCCTGGTCTGAGAAAACAAGGCCCCAAAATGCCCCAAAACTCGGCTGTGGATTTCAATACAGAACCACCTTAAACGTGGCTGGATATGAATCCCAACCTAGACGATGTCCGCAAAACATCCAAAACCCATTAAAAGTCATAACCCCAGTGAATCCCGGGTGCTTCGCCACTACAGTAGGTGACCCTTCGCAACTTGCAACTCTCGGTTTTCAAAGGGTGGCTCCCTTGCTTGCCCTCACTTCCTGAGTGGACTGGCCAAAATATGTCTGAACTTGTTATTCATTATCAAAATGGTCTTCCCAAAAAGTTTAAAATTCAGGAACTCAGAAAGCGAGTACCTGCCTTTACCAGGTAAATGGAATCACTGGGCACAACATCCCCTCTGAAAAATAGCTTATTGCCACCCACAATTATGAGTGATGGATTCCTGGAGGGCAAATGCCCTACCTAGGCGGTCCAAAGGTTGCTCTTCTTCTGCCTGGCAACACAAAACGCGCTTTTTCCGCCGTGGGTCGGGCTTTGCGCTACCGCCTAGATCGCCAAGTCGCCACTTTTTTCCCCATACACTTTCCGAACAAGTCAGTCCCAGTTGCTGGTGGAGAAGGCGAAAAACCGCCACGGGCGATGGCGGGCACAGCAATCTCTGGGGCTTTGAGGAGACTCCACGAAAAAGAACCAGCCCAAAGGGATGGAACCCCCAGGGTCGTTGCCTGAACCCTCAAACAGAAAAAAGGGAATCCAGACATCCCTTGCCCATCATTTTGGGTAGCGAGAACCTATTTTTCGAGAGGAAAAGGAGGAACCACCTGGATCGCCAGTTGCCATCGCATTTTTCCATGCACTTTACCCCAAGAACCGATCGCAACAGTGGCTGAAAAAAGCGATCGCAACTTGGCTATCTAGGCACACAGAAAAAAAAAGGCGACTGGGGCGCCGACGATCACCCGACGCGATCTCTGCTGACCCGAGCCGCCGGCATCCAGGCGTCCAGGCGCCGGCTCCACCCCAGGCCACATCACGCCCAAGCGCACCACGTTGAAACCCCACTCCTGGCCGCCGTGGTTTGTTCGCGGGGCGCGCGGGGGGTTTGCGCTTCTTTTTTTTTGCCCCCCTTGGTGGCTACTTGCCATGGAATCTGATTGTTTTTGAGGGCGCCCGAGTTGTTGCTTGCTTTAAGGGGGGAAGAACAACAGGAAACCAACCATTTGCGCGTGTTGTTTGTTCTTTCCGCTATTTCAAGACAACGCACCTGGATCGCCAGTTGCTGCCTTTTTCCATCCACTTTATCCCAGAAAACAGCAACAGTGACTGAAAAACACAATCGCAACTTGGCTATCCAGGCAAGTAATAAAAAAAAAAGATTCAACCAGGTAAGCCCCCCTTTGTGGGTGTACCTGGCCATGGCAGCTTTGGATTCGGTCACACCAACCACAGTTGCAACCAGTGACGGCCATAGGCGTCCGTGTGGAAAAATGGATCGGTTTCCCTGGTCAATGGGGCATCAAACCCATCCAAACCAGTGCCTTCTTTTCTTATCCAAACTAACCTGAAAAGGACACCTATGGCGACGGTAGGAATCATGCAGCCGGGCGAGCGGCGTGGGTGGACTTCGGGTGTTCTGTTGGTGTCCCCTTTAAGCCACCGCGAGAAAACCACCTCCAATCCTCAAAAGCAAACCCGTCAAATCCGCCGACATTGCTCGGCGTGTCGGACACCTAAGAGAGGATAGAGGATAACCCCCCCCCCTAACCCCCCCCCCGCCCGACGTCTGATACGTGGGGGGGGGGGGGGGAGGGGGGCCGGTGTCGCAAAACAGGGGTCCCAGGCTCGATTCCCCCTGCCGGCTCTTTGCTGGTTTGGGGTTCCTGCCTCCTTTTGCAGAAAATCTGGAAAAACTCTGTGTTTTTGGACGTCCTAATTGTGAAAACGCTGGAAAACCCGTGTTTTTTTGCTGGAAATATTGGGGAGCAGAGGGGAAATGCAAGGAAGTGCAAGTGAAATGAGGGGAGGAAATAGGAAGTCGACATGACAGGAAAGCAGCGGGACAAAGGGAAACAAAGGGGAACTGAAAGGGACATGCAAGGGACAGAAATGAAAACAAGGGGAGTGCAGGGGGAAGGAGAGGAAACAAAGCACAAGGAAACCAAGCACGACGGGAGATGTAGGGAAATGACTCGCAACGAAAGAACGGGACATACATGGCAAATGAAGCGGACATACCGAGAAAATGTCAGGGACATGAAGGGGGGGCTGAATGGCATGGAAGGGACAGGACCAGGACATCATGGGAAACGTGACAAGGACATGAAGGGGGAAAGCCAGTAGTGAGATGACAGTTCAGGGTCATGCAGGGGCAGTGCCCGGACATCGAGGCAACTCGGGGGGGGACGTGACGCTGCAATGCAGAGAGAGAGAGAGACAGAGAGAGAGAGAGAGAGAGAGAGAGAGAGAGAGAGAGAGAGAGAGAGAGAGAGAGAGAGAGAGAGAGAGAGAGAGAGAGAGAGGGGAGAGAGCGGGAGAGAGACAGAGAGAGAGACAGAAAGAGAGAGAGAGAGACAGAGCCACAGACAGAGCCAGAATCAGAGAAACAGAGAAAGAGACAGACAGAGAGAGAGACAGCGAGAGAGAGAAAGACGGAGACTGAGAAAGAGAGACACAGAAAGACAGAGAGAGAGAGAGAGAAAGAGAAAGAGAAAGAGAAAGAGAAAGAGAAAGAGAAAGAGAAAGAGAAAGAGCGAGAAAGTGAGAGAGTAGAGAGGTTCGAATTAGGGTGCCCTTTTTCTGTAGAGGGGCGTGGACAGGAAGGAGACAGGGAGACAGAAAGAGACAGAGAAACAGAGACAGCGAGAGAGAGAGAGAGTGGGAGATTGAGGAGAGAGAGGCTTGGGGGGATGGGGAGAATGGGGAGCAGAGGGAGGGAGAGAGGACGACAGAACGCACGAGGGAGACAAGGGAGAGGGAAGAAGGAGAAAAGGGAGAGGACAATGTCGGCGGACTGAGCCGGAGGCTCTAAAGTTATGGATGGTTGCGAAATCCATTTCGCACCTAAGCAACCCTGGACTGTAAATACCAAACATGGGTCTCTCATGGCTCAAAAGGTGCGAAATGGATTTCGCAGCCATCCGCAGAAGGAATCATCATAACGGGGCTTTTCAGGATCCTTACCTGGTGGATGAAAAGAAATGGTCAAAGGGTACGATCCTGAAGGACCGTTGGTTGGTATTTACAGTCCACCGGTTTCCCAGATGGATTTCGCCATTCAGAGTATGGTCAGAACCTCAGGAGAAACAGCGATCGGTTTCTGAAAAGAACGATGGTTGAAAAAAAGAATGGAAAAGGAATCAACCAGTAGAAATTTGAGCTTTGCTTCTCGCATTTCCCAAACTTGCTGAGTTCATGGATTGAACTTTTTAGCAAGACACCCACCTTTTAAAAATGCTCCTTTCGCAAACATGGGTTTCTCCTGGCTTCAAGGTGCGAACTGGATTTCGCCTAAGAAACCACAAAAAATGATGCGATTTCCCGGCGAATGCCAACAAACGTCATGGTTTCAACCATGGTTGAGTTTCGTGGATCGCGAACGAACTTCGCAACCATCCATAGTATGAAAGGTCTTGAGACTGTGGTTTGCCCTGGTTTCCAAGTCGAAATGGACCGCGTCCATCCGCCGGATCCACCGAATCCACCGAATCCACCGGATCCATCGCCTGCAGCAGGTCCATGGTCTCGGCATCCAGGGAGTCCTCCGCGCTGAAGGCGTCGCCGCGCGGCAGCCAGGGGGATTCCTCCGGCGCTCGTTTTCGGAATCCGCGGCTTCAAACGCCCCCCGGCCCCCCCCCCCCTCCGGTGCTCGAGGAATACGTGGGGAAATGAAGGGTCGGACGTGGAAAAAAACGTGCCAACACCGGGGAACATGAAGGGTCGGACATGGACAAAACGACCCAAAAGCGGGGGAAATGAAGGGTCAACCACGAAACATAGAGAAAGTGACGGGTCAAATAAGAAACATGGGCCCAAACTGAAGAACATAGAGGGTCAGAACTGGTCGATTCGCTTGGGTTGCCAGGTTTCACCCGAGCTGACTGTTGGTTCAATGGAAATCACAAGGAGTCAAAGGTGCAAAAGAAAAAATAGGGAAGTGTGGGGTTCTAAGATGGTGGTGTGTAATATATATATATATATTATTTTTTTTCTAGGCACTAGAATCCTCGCAACCTACTCACTGGCTTGAAAAAGTAAACCACACGTAAAGGCCACGTTGAATTTAGAGTATCTTTAAAAGCTTGGCGGTTAGTTAGTCCTTGGTTAAAGGTCAAACTGTTGGCGGGATACGCCATAAACCCATCAGCATATACGAGCACCGCCCAAACCTATTGACTTTGGGTTCTAAGATGGGTGCTGTAGTCCTTGTCAATGGGCCCTATAGTTTGTAATCCTGGTTAATCCTTGTTACCGGCAAAGATTTGTAACTTTTCCGGTTACAAACCACGCGATCCCTCCAAGACCCTGGCACCCCCCCCCCGACCAAATGACTTTTTGCCACTGAAGGACCCACGATGCAGCCTTTCATACTGAGTTGACTGGCTCGAAAAAAAAAAGATGTTGGCCTCAGACAGTAAAATGGCGAAGCCACCTGGCTTTTGCAAAAGTCTCAAGTTTGGGAACTGAACAAGTGCTTGTTTTGAGGGTACCCTCCTTTTTTGCCAGTTTCGAAGGAATACCACCATTTGGGGCCCCAAAAAAGACACGCTCGCATACAAAGAGACAGCCCCTCTTGATTTTTCGCGAGGGTGTCAAAGGCGCACAAGGTGAGTTCCCTTCGTTGTGGTCAACCACCCTTTCTGCCGTTCCCACTTTGGCTGGTTCCCATCCCTACTGGAAATCCCCCTGTCTTAAGGAATGCGACCCAAAAACTATCACAAAACCACTTGCCACAAGCTTCCTCACTTCCGTGGCGTATCTTTCTGAAAAGGTGATCGCCCAAAAGGGCCACGAAGAACGGCTTCCCTGCACCTTCAACTCGGCTCCGGGGTCCACTTCCACAAAGCGGAAAAAGGGATACCTTCCCGCCAACTAACATGCTGTGGATGGTTGCAAAATCCATGTCGCACCACTTTGAAACCACGGTTGAAACCATTTTTTGGCTGGTATTTGCAAGGGGAATGATCAGTCCAGGGTCTCCTAGGTGGTGCAGGATTTCGTCCATCCACAGCGACACCTGTGGGAGGCTACCTGGAAGATCAAATTCCTCTTGGAGGGACCCCCTTTCAGGTGTAGCAACGAGGGAGGGATACATTCTTCACAAAGCAGCTACATAGTGGCCACTATTAACCCCCCAAACCCCTAACATCCCCCACTGGTTGGGGAAGTGGGGTTCCCATCTTCCAAACACTCGGTGGGACTCGAAGATGAACCCCTTTCCATGGGCTTCCTGTTGCCTTTTTTTGGTGAGGCGTGTAGCTGTTCCTTTGGTAACGTGGAACCCAAATCGGATCTATCCGAGGTCCTCCTGATTAGAGAGGTTAGAAGAAGGGTACCCGATGTTTTTTCTTTCGTCTATTTTAGTAGGGGACCCCTCCCCAAAAAAAGTTGGTGAAAGGGCACTACTGGGGGACCTAGTATCAAAAAGTATCAAAAAGAGGGTTGGGGCGTCTCCCAAAGTCACCACTCAAATGGCTAGTAATCAACCACGGGGCATATTAATCCGGGGTCAACATATTTCCCGGAAGTCCTTGAAAACGCGAAGACTCGCTCCTTATAAACCGCGTTCACCCCATGGAAGATGCGCACGCGACCATCGCTGTCCACGAAATGCCCAGTAGGGTCAATGGAGATAGGACCTGAGAGAGAAAACTCCCACGACACAAAGAAAGAAATTGGAGGTTCGGACGAGAAAATCTTATAAAGTCTCTTGGCTTTTCTTGGGAATTTGGGACCCACCCTCCAGAGTGTTCCGAGAGATGCTTTTTCTTGGGATATTTGGAGAGTCCCCGAACTTGTCTCTTTCAACTGGACTGACTGCATAATATGTTCACCCAACCTCACATGAGCCATGGCCAAAACTCCATCTATGGCCCATCATTCCAGCAAGAGTGGTTAAGGATACCTACCAGCAGGCCCATGACGTCATGACTCCCTTCATACTGTGGATGGACAAAATCCTGCACCACGTTGATACCTTGAAAAACCATGATTTGCTGGTATTTACAGGGGAATGATCATTCCAGGGTCTCTTAGGTGGTGCAGGATTTCGTCCATCTACAGCCGACACAACACTCCCTTTAAAACCAAGAAGGGGGAACAATCAGCAAATGGAAGCACTCGTCAGAAGTGGCGGGTCACCAAACTCTGCAGGGGAATTTCAACCAACATGGGCTTCAGTTGGCGGTTGGGTTTCCCGAAAACTCACAAAGGTACCACGAACTTGGCACATGATGGAACTCCTTGAATTCGCGGTACTACCTAAACCCCAGAGGTCTCTTAAAAACCCATATGACCAAGGTCTGCAAGTCCTAAATTGCGATACTCTCAACCGCGGAAGGCCTTATGAATCCTGGGTCAACATGAAGACACCCAACTTCCCATGCTTCAATCAGCCGCAAATGCTATTTGCATCCTCAACTGCTTGGAAAATGATGCTAATTTCTGGTAAATGATAAGAACCAACGTGAAAATCCACCAACTTTCAACCAACCTGAAACTGGGCGCCAAGTAGATTTTGTTTTTTGGCAAAAGACATGTAGATGCCGTGTTGGTTTATGTGAAACACCATAGATCAAGTGTTGACACTCCTCGGGTTTCCCAAACATGAAAGGAGTCTCAAAATTATCCGACTCCTGGCAAATACTCCTAGCCTTTAAGAGCATTTGTTTAAAGGTTCGCTGGTTCTCCTTTGAAACCATAGATAGGGTATTCTCCAAGAAGGACACACACACACAAAAAGGAACCAACTAAATCTTGCAGAGTGTTTCTTCCGTGTGAACAACCCAATGGGAGCATCATGACGAGCACCTGGGCTTCAAGTTGTGGTTTGAATTTGGATTCGAACCCCTGGTTCTTGCAAACTGTATAAATGGGAAACAACCCCGGAACACTCCAAACCACTAAGTCAAACCACCAATTAGAGGGAAGCTGAATAAAATATCCTCCTCCTCCTCCTCCTCCCCCTCCTCCCCTCTCTCTCAGACTGGATCCACCACTTGCGCCACTGGGGATGCATGACACCACATTGGGATAAAACACAACCCACCCCAACTGGTGCCGATCTGCGTGGATTGCGTCAAACCACAGTACGTCCTTCTTGTTTGGGCGCAAAAGAACAAAACATCTTGATTTGGGTCGAGATTTAGTTTTGGTTTGTTTTTTTTGTTTTATTTTGTTTTTTGTGTTTTCCTTAAAAAATGGCCCTCCTCTTGATTTTGCTGGCTTCCATTTGCTTTTTCGCCCCCTGGCCAAAATGAGAAAGTATTTCCAGTAGTGATAGATTCCCTTTGAAACCAAGAGGGGGAAGAAGAAAAAAACTAACTTAAGCAAATGGAGGCTTGGGCAAGTTTCTTCATCCACAAGGAGCCATCACAGTATGGAGACTCTTGGGATGGAACAACGGGAGCTGCTTACTAACAAGCGCAACCATCGTTCAAGAAATCCAACCGGGAAAAAATGAACCTTGACCAGAATAAGACCCCCTGAAAAAGTGAGAACTGTTTGCTGTCCCCAAAAACCGGCCAGATCAAGTTGAACTTGGGCGCTGTGGATCCCCTGGCAAAAAGTGTTTCACTGTTTGCTGGTTCAAAGGAAATATGAAGAGAATCCACAAAAATAAAGTCTAAAGATCCAACCCAATAGCGGTAGAGTGAAGAGCAAAGAGTTTTTTAAGGCAAGCTTGGTAAGGGTCCGGGCCAGTTTCCTCAAGGCACCTGGTGGGTTTCCTTCTGGTACTCCCCCCCCATTTGCTTAAGTCCCCTGGAAAGAATAAAACATATTTCCAGTAGTGATAGATTTCCTGTAATACACAGGGGAAAATAGGAAAATATTCTTAACCAAATAGAAGCCTCTTCTGCCCAGAGGCTCCGATCGGCTTCGGCTTTCAATGGAAGACCCGACCCCGCAGCATTAGACACCCCGCTCACCGGTGGTTGGGACCGGGTCTGAAAACCAGGTCAAGTTTGAAGGCCCATCAATCGGATTGGAGCCTCTGGCTGGTACTCCTCCAAAGCTTGGTTTCGCCGTGGGTCCAAAAAATAGGTATTTCAAATGGAATCTTACCCTGGCAAGTGGCAACCTAGACTAAAACCCTGCGGTCCCCTGGTTGGTGGTTTACTGTTGACCCATATATTACCGACCAATACCCTGAAAACCAAAGGGCCGCCGAATCCACAGCTCACGGACACCCGGCCATGACTTCTACCTGAACCCCCAAAAAAATCCAACTTAAAAATGGGCCAAAGACCCCCAAAATTTATGGTTGGCGATCTCCCCCAAATTTTTATGGGTAAAAATGAGGGTTTTAGGAAAACATCTGGTGACCTTTCAACTTCCGCCACTCCCTCTGAAAAAAACACGACACGAAAACCCGCCGATATCCAAGCCCAAGGCCTTCAGCCTTCGATCCGGGTGGCTGAGCTCCGCCGCGGCCAGGGCCACTAGGCCCAAACCAAAACGCCCGCCCATGGCCTCGGCGGTCCGTGAAAATATGGCCGTGGGTCAAAAACCAACGGTAGGTGAATTCACCACCCATTTGAGTCGGGATTTTTAGTTGGGGATTGGGATGTTCACTGGGGGTACGATTTGGATTTTGACCCATGGAAAGGTCCATGCTGTGGATGGAGTTGCGAAATCCATTTGATACCACGACTTTGATACCACAGCCATTTCAAATGGGCCTTTGTGTGGAGTGGCAAGGAAGCTTCATCTTCAAGCCTTTTCAATTAGGTGGTGCTGTGAATGGAGTCCATGCTGTGAAGTGGAACTTGGGTCCTCAAAGTGCAAGTTGCTTTGTCCTTTTGGTTTTCCCAACGACAGCCAAAAGGCATTCCCCGGAAAAAGGACATACCCATATGGGTGTGGCTCAAAATTATACAGGAGTAGACCGCAGGTTTTGGTCCAGGTTTCCACTTACCAGGGCAACCCATTTTGGGGTTACCCGGATTTTTGAGCCAGAGCCATATGGGTCTGGGAATCTGGAGCTTCGAGGTTCCAAACTTGGGGACTGAATAACCCTTTTTTGGTAGGCTTTAAAGAGAAAGAATGAGAAAAAACAGATCCATGTTTGGGGTCCCCGAAAAATGCACCGCGAGCCACTTGTGTGTCAACTGTTAGGACGTGGACGCCATGGCGGGTGTTGGTTCATTGGTTTGCCTTGGCCTGCGACTGGTGTCTCAGAACGAGGGGTTTGTTCGCAAAGTTTCGGCATGGGACAAATGGGTTATTTCAGGGTTTTATTCCATAACATCAAGGTTTTATCCAAGGTTTGTTCGAGGTTTTATCCAAATAGCTCAATGCTTTTCTCCAAGGATTTATGCGATAATATCAAACGTGCTTCGTTTCCTGTTGGCTTCCCCTAGGCAAAAAAAAAAAAGTCGTGCCGCCCATAATTACTATGGATGGATCGGCACCGGTGGGGATTGGCGGTTTACAAGCAGTTGTTGTAGGATTCAACCAATTTCAACCGGAGCAGTATATCACATGGGGTGTGGTTCCAAAAAATTGGGTGGAACCCCCTTTTGGTGAGCAACGAGAAAGAAACCTCATGTTTCAGGTGGCCTCGTCGGCACCTAATTTTGAGCCCAAACCCCAAAAAACTTGAAAAGGGAGGAACACATCACACTATATAGGCATGTCATGGGGACATGAGGTGGCCCCTTTGTCGACATGCGCACTCACTACATGTTTTCACCGCCATCGAGAAAAAACGGGAAAAAAACAAGTCCGAACTTTTACCGCTAAAATGGTCCAAACTCAAGTGACGAAAGTCAAGGAACTCAGGGACTCAGAACAGGTTCACAAAATTCTCAGAGGGTCCCTTTAAAAGAATGGCCCAAGCCACCCCCCTACCAGTAGGTTCCATGCTGTGGATGAAAGGCTGAGCACCCAAGGCTCTTCGGATCACAAGTTGGGGTTCTCAAAATGTGCCCAAAATTGGTTTCCCTTTTAGTCCCCCTTCCCCAAGACAGAGTCGCTCCCGCGTCCGACGAGTGGATTGGCCAACAAAAGTCGAACAACATGTTGCTTGCCACTAACATGGTCCAAACACAAAAGCCTGGACTGTCGTCAGATCCCCAAAAGCTTAGCTTGTGGCTTAAATGAAGCCAACAAACAACTAACAAACCCTAAAGAACCCGACGAATTGCTGGGAACCGCCAAGGATGTCCGAAACGGAACTCAAAAAAGTGAGGGGTAGCCTTCAGACCCATCAAACCTTAACTCAGACCTGAGAACGGGTCCCTCGCTTGCAGCAAACCATCCGTGCATCCGGGCGGCGCAGGCACGCAATTGACAAGCGCTCCGAAATATCGCGGCGATTGGCTGGTTGCAAGTGGGCTCTAAATAGAGTTTCACTTTTTGTTTTCAAGAAACCATTCCCTTGAGGTGTCGTTTTGGAAGTTCACAATGTATTGCTGGCTGCTTGTGGCAGCTTGTCTTTAGCTGTACTTGTCTGTGCTGAAATGCGCAATCTACTCAAGGTCGAAGTTACCAGTTGTGGCTTGTCTTCAAGGCTGCTGAGCAAGTATTGCTTGTCCCAAGGGTGTGATGCTAAATACCTTTCGCAACCAATGAGGTCGACGAGAAAGCTCGACCGGCCCGCCGTTCAGAAGGCGAAGGCTCGCTGCAGGTGGAATTGTATCCGCTCAACTTCTGGTTTGAAACGCGGCGAGGCCATGTGATCCTTCCTTGAGACGCCGAAGTCTCTTCCTAGGTCCTCCAGTAGAGAGGTTAGAACAAGGGTACCAACTGTTTTTCTTCTGTGGTCTATTTAGTAGGGGAACCCTCAACCAAAAAAGGGGCGAGAAAGGGCACCCTTTCGCTGGGGGACCTTGCTTCCAGTCTCCCCGGCCAAAATCTACGAGCTTTCCTCTTGCGGAGCCTCCGCGCCGTCAGCAAACAGTCATGTGACCGTTGGGCTCCCCGCAGTCAAGGGGAAGCCTTGAGGGGAACGAGTTCTGTAATGAGCATGAGGGTATCAGAAGTACTCCAATGGTCTCGCGTAAACAGATGGGCTTGGCTTTCTCAAGGGTGCCCTTTCGTTGTGGTGTAGCGGGAAATCCCAAAGGAGAACTAACTACCTGGACCCTCAAACTACCCATAAACATAGGATATCACCCCATAATTTTGGGGGTCAAACCATTTTTAAGGGAATTTTGAGGGTCCAGGTACACCCATGTTGTCAAAGATACTATCACATATCTCAAAGGCTGTGGTGATACGATACAATCATGCAAGGTTTGCAAGAATCTCCTTTCGGTTTCCGGATAGAAGCCCACTTGAGGGAAAACCGAGCCACACCAAAAACGAATGCCACTGCCAACTAGAACAGAATCCTGTGATCCAAGTGATTCCAGCTCGGGCTTCTTCTCCAACCACTGTGATATGCTCCGGAATCTCCCCCCTAAAAATTGTGGGGGGGGGGGGGGGTTCGTCTTTGGGAAGCCCATGGTGAGAATCACTGATGCCTGGATTCCACCGCCCTGCTTCACAACCCCGCCCCCCCCCCCCCCCAATCCCCCACTGCGACAGACTCATTCACGCACTCGAGACTCACCCGTTCGCCTCGTATGCCTCAGCCTGCCGCAGGATCTCCTGCAGCTCTCGCGCCAATGGCCCCGTGCGGTTCTCCTGGCGGATGGGTCGTCTTGGCTTTCCTGTGGAGGATGTTTCGTCAAGGTCACAAGATGTCACAAGTTTAGCTTTTAGTGGTTTAATGGTAAACCCATTAGTTGGAAAAAAAGTTAAAGTCCCAACATCCAAGCAAAATGCCGGAAAGAAAAGGTCAACCTTCTATATCCAGGTCGTTGAACCAAATCCTGGTATTTGAAAGCAAAGGAAAAGAGACTGGCTTCCTGCCATAGAGGGTCAGTTTTCGAGCTCCGAGTTTGGTGGAAAAACGTCGGTGGCTGAGTCTCAAGTTTGGATGTGTTTAGAACGCATTTTGGCCCATGGAACCTAGGGTCCAAGTTTGGGGTATGGAGAAAAAGTCGGCGGCTGAGTCTCGAAAGGGCTTCGAAGGTGACTCAGGTGGAACGGGGAAGCAAACAAAATCATTCCGGCCGTGTCCCGTGGTTCGTTTGGGAGGCATGCGCTTGCATTTTAAAAAATGGTAGTGTCGATTTTGCAGGCTCCCCTTTGGAGTGGTTTCGGAGGGAAAAGGGAACACCCGGCCATCGGGGGATCCACTTCCCATAAATCATGTCCTAAGCTTTTAGGATGCCCATCCAATTGGGACCTGAGCACTCAGGGGTTGAATCCCCATTCTTTTCAGCCATCGTTCTTTTCAAAAACCGAATCGCCATTGCCCCCGGGTTTTTGGTGGTTTTCTAGAAAGATCCGGATCCCTGGTTTTAGAATGGAAATGGAAGGTGCCCCTAGAACAAGGGGCCGGGTAGTTTGCGAGTCGTTGAACAAGATCTGGTCCCCTTAGGGGAGATAGATACTTGTTTGTTTTATGCGAGCTTTTTCTGCTGGTAAACGGAGGCCAGAAGGACACCAACAACTTTTTAGGATCTTGAGGCAAACACACTGGGCTAAAATAAGCCGTGCGATGGAAGAAAATCCAAGGGCTCCAAGGGTTCTTTTGTCTCCCCCTTGCCCATAAATGGAACCAAAGGACCCAGCACCAAAGACAAGGAGCTTTTTCGGCTCGGTGATTTTTGGGGGGTTGATCTCTATTGGGACAAGTTCTTCAGTGACCCTGGTACCCTGGTAGTAAAAAGGGACCCCTTTCCCGGGTGGACCCCCAAAAATGGACCCCAAAAGAGAAAACTCCCAAAGGGGGAGAAAGCGAAGCTTCCCGGGAGAACTTGGAGCCAGCCGCCGACCGGGACTTAGAAAGCGCCGATGCGTCGAGGCCTCGGGCCCACCTGCCCCTTCTGGGGTCCCGCATGCTCCATGCAGGTAAAAAAAAAAACACGAGCGAGCATTTGAGGCACATTTGGAGTGCGCTCCTGGTGAATTATTCACCCAACACCTGTGATGAGAGTCTCTCAAAATAGGGGACCCTCATTGTGGCTGAGTTCCTTTCAAGTTTCCCTTCAACCACCAAAAAGACCCGAGGCAATTCCGTGGTTTTAAAGGGAAGCCAAGAGCAAAACCCGCTACTCCGGAGCAACTCCCAACCAACAAGACGCGCCACCGATCATCGGTGGAGTGAAAACCTAGCCCTAGGTAAGGCCAGCCCGCCCGCAGCGACCGCGCACGCAAACCTCTGCGCAGGCCGCGCAAGCAAACCTAGGTCCTCCAGATTTGAGAGGTTAGAATAAGGGGACCGGATTTTCTTTTTCTGTAGTCTATTTAGTAGGGGAACCCTCCCAAAAAAAAAGGTAAAAGGGCACTGGGGGACCTAAAATATACATATATATATATATATATCTCTCTCTCTCTCTCTAGGCCTGAAGCAGCTGTTCAAGGCCCGCGCGGCCATTCCCACTTCTTGGCGACCATCCGCAGTCGCGCCGGTCGCCTTCACCCCAAAATGTCACGACGTTTTCGCGCCCAATCAGCTGGCATGCATTGCCATGCCATGCTGCCAAGTTCGGAGAGGTGGGCTGGCATGCTGACGGTCGCAGCCTGAGTCATGTCTCTCTTTTATTGTTTTTTGGGAGGGGGGGGGGGGAGGAGAATTCCAACCTTGAAAAAAAAGGGAAGCGAGCCACCCATGTCACAGCTAAAGCGCTTGAAGAGAGCCTCGTTTTTCCATGAGAAGAGCACCTCTTCTGGTCACAAAAACCTCACTTTTTTCACTTAAGGGTGTCAGAAAGCCACCAACTACCCCATCTAAGAGAGCTTAGAATAAGGGTACCAACTTGTTCTGTTGTCTATTGTAGTAGGGGAACCCTCCCCCAAAAAAAGAAACGACCAAAGGGCACTGGGGGACCTACCCCATGGCAAGTGTCACTGGAACCAAGCGCAAAAGCCGGCCGGTGATCTCCTGCAGCGGCAAGTACCCGAAGGCGATGGCCAGCTTGTCGTAGCCCCCCACCACCGGGCTGTAGGCGTGCACCTGGCGCAACCCGAAACTCGAAACGCGAAACCCGGAACGCGAAACCCGAAACGGCCAGGGCCAAAAAGCTCGGGGGAAGGCTCCTGCCTTGCCGTCTCTAGGGACCTGGAAATAAAAGGTGATCACCTGTTGGAGTCAATCTGAACCCAACATGAGAAAAGCCAAAGAAAAGGTCCACCTGTTGGGACCATGACGAAAGATGGGGTTCCCCCAACATGAGAAAGCCTTAAAGGTCGAAAGATGTTGAAAGATGTCAAAAAGGTCAAAGGGAAAACCAAAAGGTCTTTTTGGACTAAAGATGGGAACCCAAAATGAGAAAAACCAAAAGGTCAAAAGATGTCAAAACCCAAAGCTCGAAAGGCGAGGGAAAGGAGAGGTAAGTCAGAGGGCGAGCTGGATGTCCCCAAACCAAAAGTTGATCATTTACAGGTGATTGAGAAACGAGCGGTTTAGCCACTTTTACAGGTTCCCTGAGGGAAATTCCCCAAACCAACAAGTTGATCAACTTACTGGTGGTGTCCATTGAACACCTCTGACAATTGAAAGCCACGGGAGTGGTGGATGCCTCGTATTTGGTCTACCCTGAAATATGCAACGATTCCGCCCAGTGGCTATGTCTTACGAACATCCTCCAAAAGATTGGTGAACGCAAAGATCCAGGCAAAACTAGTGGCCACCAAAAGGTTACTAGGTGAATTAAAAGGGCGACCGCACAGTCTTACTTTGTAATGTCGAATTGAGTGTAGATAGGGGAAATACCAAGCCTGTGTATTTTTTGATATACACCAAACGGTCCAACAATTTGGATATCATACCCCAAAGACTTCCGAATCCCTGGCGAGCCAAAAAATGGTCTCTTACAACAAAGCCAAACAACATGCCAAAAAATAGAGGAAAAAGGAAGAAACACGAACCCAACCCGACCCAAACCAAATCCACCCGCGATGTGATTGTTTGTGTGAGCTGGTCACCTGAAGCAAAGGTTTGCCATCGGGGAAAGCGAAGCGCGTTTGAAACATCGCCGGGACAAATGAGTGACTGCCGATACCTTGTTTTCGTGGTTCACTGATACCGGATCGTCAAACGGTACGCACACGCCTGCAAACAAAAGACAAAGAACCACAGAAAACTGATAGCCTGGGAATATCGTCCGTTGCCACCACCCACCCACACCCACACCCACACCCACACACCCACACCCACACCCACACCCGCCCACCCACCCCGGGTCGGAAGGAACCTCTGTGGAGAGTGTCCGATTTTGTCTCTCAAACGAAAGGCCCTGGCAACCACGGTCTGCCCCAATCAGAAAGGGCCCTCCCTTCTTTGG